CCCGAAGTACGAGCATATGGCGACCAATGTCGCACGCTTCCAGCACCAGGTATGTCTCGCGCTACACTCACAACCTCGTTCCCCAACTCACAGATGCCACTAGCACCCAAAGACCACCCTGCGCTTCACCCAGCTTACAGCAGTGGAGCCCGGCTATGGTTGCGTGCTCCTTCCCTGCTCGCCCGTGAGAGCGTAGGTGCCAGCCAGCAAATAGCGCAGCAGCAGCGCTTGCGCAGCATGCAGCCAGCACCTGAATGCCGAATGAGGAGGCAGGCCCTTTCCTATATCGAAGTGGCCTGCCTGCGTTCAGTCCCAGGAAGCTTCCAGTAGGCCCCGGTAGCCTGAGGCCCAGCACGACAAGAGCAGGCCTTGGGCCTGAAGTGGTTGCATGTGCCCAACTGCCTTCGGCCTGTGTTTAGCCCGGTACCCGTATCCAGCCCAGGTCCTGCTTCACATACATTCACACAGGCGGCCAAGGGCCTGGGTTCACTCAACCAACTGGCACTGCACAACTGCCTGAATTTTCCCTGAGTGGTGGCCAGAAAAGGGCCCTGAGGGCCTCATCGAGCTTGCCTTCACTTAGGGCGGCCGACGGGCTGCAAAAAGCCCCGCGGCACTTAGACCAGCGGAAAAACACTAAAGTAGCAGGTAGGCCGGTACCGCACCCAGTAGAAGTAGATGTGCCGGGTACTGGAGGCCAAGCAGAAGAAGACAAAGTTGGCATTTTTAGAGGCCCAGTAGCGATAGGCTAGGTCTAGGCGGGTACCAGTGCATCCGGTCTGAGTCTAGGGCCTGTACGGGCAATATCAGAGTCTGCAATGATGTTTCCCTCCGAAAGGGAGGAGGTACCGGTTGCTTGGGAGGCCGAGCGGCCTGGAAGTCACCGCCCAGGAGGCAAGTAGGCCGCTATATCTGGAGGCTGAGTGAAGAGCCCAGCCTCATTCTTCGGTGTGCAAGTTTGGCGACACACTGCTGAAGCGCTGGCTGGAGGAGCGCTGGCTACTACAGCACTGCTGGGAGGAAGAAGCCCAGGAGCTTCCACCTTGGCTATGGTGGAGCTCTACCGGTAGGAGGAGGAGGGAGAAGAGGACTGAGGAGGAGAGTGGCGAGGTACTGACCTGGATAGGCGGTGCATCTGGAATGCCCCAGTTGGAGTAGTGCCGCACCAAGGAAGCTCGGGCCAGAGTCAGGCATGGGACTTGTTGAGCAGCGGCGTAGCTGCTTTGGGTTGTCCGTTGCACAGGAGGGCAGCGACATAGCTGCTTTGTGTTGTCCTCTGGACAGGGGGGTAGAGCCCTCAGTAGTCCGCCATAGCCTCGGCCCACATGAAGAAGAAGAGGAAGGGTGGGTGTGGCATACTGCGTAGCCACACGGGCCTGCAGGGCCCGTCCCGCATTCTCAGCCTAAAAGCCTAGAAATAAGGGCTTACAGGCCCCACGTCGTTTCAGCCTGAAACTGAAAACGAGGGCCTGCAGGCCCTATTTCGTTTTCAGCCTATAACAGGGCTTTTCAGCCTGAAACGGAGGGCCACTT